TGTGTGTGTGTGTGTGTGTGTGTATGTATATATATATATATATATATATATATTATAAATATCATGTGAATACGTATTTTATATAAATATATATATATATATATATATAGTAAATTATGTAGATATATATTATGTATGTATTTTTATTATACATAGAATCTATATATATATGTGTGTGTGTGTGTGTTTATGTATGTGAATGTATGTATGTATGTATGTATGTATAATTACATGTTTGTATTCAAACGTATGCTGTGTCTGTGTGTGTTGCTTACAAGTATACTTATATTAATATTCAATGCGCAGTTTTTGCACGAGCAGCTTGTTTCCATAAAGTTGTTAGTATTGTAGTATTACTCGCTTATTGTAAGTTTGGATGTGTCAAATACGAGTTATCAACTAGTCATATTATTTAGATGATGTTCCTCAAATCGGTGCAGCGATGGATACACTGGAATTCATTGAGTACAAATTATTGAACACATATGCTTGCTTGTATACCTTGACGTGCGCCAGCTAAAAATGTGTGCATGATTGAAAAAACACTTTTTTTTTAATTTAGAATGTCTCAGCTCTTCGTCTAACTCAAGTTACTTGGTGTCAATTGATCGATAGGTTCTCGACATTACACTTGAATACAGTGCTTTTTAAAAATAGTTCTATGTACATGCTGTTTGATATATGTATCGCCTCTTGTGATAGTTCGTCACCGTGTAGGGCTCCCCCGGTGCAATTACCTAAGCTATATACGAAATCAGGTGTTCCGGGCCATTTTTTTTTGTGTAGAGCATCGTTGAAAATGGGTTTGGAATGATCCACCAATAAGACTAATATGTGTTATATACTCTCTCGATCCCATCCCACATCTCACACCATTAGGTAATGGTGAACGATCGAACAACGGTGAAAGACCTCACCGAGAAAGTAACTGACACATACAAGACACTATACACGGATGAACAGTATGTTATGAAATATGTGTGCTTTGTATCGCGCCTAGTCTCGCAACGATACTCGTTTTTGTATAATGTTCGTATTTGTGCACATGCATTGAATGGTGCTGGCATGTAATTACGCAAGCATGTATTTGTATGATGGTTAAAAGCAATTAATGAAACTCAGTTGCGCACGAGGGCCGCTCGTTATCATCGCGGACTCTACTCCCTGCATATAGGTCACAGACTCGTATTGGCCTCGCATCTTCCTATGCTCCATCCGTTCTGTCAACTGAGGGTGTATTGGACTGCCCCACTCCTTCAGTGACCGTTCTCTAGTGGTGCAAATGAAGCATAATGCAAAGATTTTCTCGATATATTCACGCGTTGGTACTAAAACAGGGTCCCATCGGTAATTATGGTGCGCCACGTGCATATGGGTGACCTCCAACCGTCACTCTACGTGAAGGACTTCTTCATGGCGTACGAATCCGTTCAAGTGCTTACAAAAGAAAATTCTAACAAGGGGTATGTGCGGTATATTTGAGCTATCGATACCAGATGATGACTTTTTTGAACGGTGTGTTAGTTTGATTCCATGTCGAGAGAATGCGACAGTGTGTATGATTTGCTTTCTTCACATTTGAATTTTTTTGAAGTGGCCACGACCTTCATCAGCCGTTAACATTATCGCCCCGATCTCATTTTGCAGTCAATTTTTAGATCAATACAACGATCCAAGTGTGGAACCCCCGGAAAAATGGCGCGATCAAATCATAAATAGAAAACGACTTCCTGATCTAGACCTCGCAGCCGTGTCAGTGAAAAGAACCAGACTCAATGCTGGTATGTGCTTTCTTGTTCAAAGCATGGATTCATATGTACAAAACTGGTCAACTTAGTAATGGTTGCACCCGATAAAACATGCTGACTATTGCTAACACTCTACTCGAGCTGATGTTTCTTCCTTACTACTATCGCCGATTTCCTGCCCAACGGACATGTGTACCCAACCAACATTTGCATTCAATATTCCGCCCCAATGGTGTCTACAATTGCATCAGCAATGTAATGAAAATATATATAGATCAATCTTGATCCTTGTACATATGCATATATATATTGCTATCTGCAATGTAGCAGGGATGTGAAATGTTCCTCATTTATTGTGTATTGGGCTTTATGCAGCTGTCTGCAAACAAGCCAAAACACCTGATGTATCCACCAAACAATCAGCCGCTAGTGCCAAAAAAGGGACTGCCGCGACTAAACAATTGGCCCATACGAATCAAGCGGTACCCCGATCCAAGCTGTCAACATCCCAGAGCAAACTAGCAGCCGCTAACCCCAAACAGAAAACTGCCTCCGCTAAACAAACCGTCAAAGCTGCTCCCAACAAACAAACTGGTACCCATGCCAAACTTGCCACTACTCCTGCGACACACGCAACTGCTCCTGCTCCACAAATAGCTGCTTCTGCTAAACAAGCAATTACTCCTGCTCCACAAACAGCTGCACCTGCTATACAAACAACTGCCCCTGCTCCACAAGTAGCTGCTCCTGCTAAACAAGCAACTGCCCCTGCTCCACAAACAGCTGCTCCTGCTAAACAAGCAACTGCCCCTGCTCCACAAACAGCTGCTCCTGCTAAACAAGCAACTGCCCCTGCTCCACAAGTAGCTGCTCCTGCTCCGCAAACAGCTGCTCTTGCCCCACAACCTGCTGTAGCTGCTCCACAAACAACTGTTCCTACGTCACAGCCAGCTGTAGCTGATTTAAAAACAGTTGCCCCAGCTCCACAATCAGTGGTGGCTGCTCCACAAACAACTGTTCCTGCCCCACAGTCAGCTGTAGCTGATTTAAGAACAGCTGCTTCTGCTCCACAAACAACTGTTCCTTCCCCACAGTCAGCTGTAGCTGATTTAAAAACAGCTGCTTCTGCTCCACAGCCAGCGGTGGCTGCTCCACAAACAACTGTTCCTGCCCCACTGTCAGCTGTAGCTGATTTAAAAACAGCTGCTTCTGCTCCACAACCAGCGGTGGCTGCTCCACAATCAACTGCTCTTGCCCTACAGTCAGCTGTAGCTGATTTAAAAACAGCTACTTCTGCTCCACAACCAGCGGCGGTTGCCCCACAAACAACTGCTCCTGCCCCACAGTCAACTGCTCCTGCTCCACAACCAGCGGTAGATGTTCAACCAGTTGCCGCAGTCGTCCCAGAAGCACCTTCGGCTGAGATAAAGAGTATGTCTTCAATGTGGAAAAAATATAGGATTGCTCTTCTAGTGTGATCTGTGTATAAAACTTTTCTGTCGTGCGTATGCTTAATAGGGGTATATACATATATGATATTTCCTTATGGCTGACAACCGTACATCTCTCGGATGCTCGACCAGATTTCGTTGTACCCGAATATATCAAGTTGTTCTTAACTAATCGCACATTGCGTCTGATTGCCGCTTCGCAATGTACGCTTGCGTGAGAACAGAAATTGTGCCGGTAGTAGAGAAGGTATCAGGTGAGACCACCAAGAAGACTAAAAAAAGCAAAGCACCAGAGAATGAAACTGCAGAGGCCACGAAGACCGTCTCAAGTGATTCCGCCGATGCGAAGGTGAGCAAATTGAGTTTAAAATTGTAAATCATGATTCCATTTAGCAATCAGGCAGTACGGAGATTCTACGAGTATATTAGTGTACTTTAAACGAAACACTATGTAACGAATTCTGCGAAAATCTTACTATTCAGTGATGATACTAGCGCATTGTTCGGATTTGTACGGTTCGGCATGCTAGGAAAAGACGACAACGTCTGAAAAACCACGTTGACGACGACTCTTTGTCACTCTGAAGTCGCTTTCATGACACTATGTGCATGCCACTCAAATGGGGCCTTTCTGACACCGCATTGTTGCACAAATGACATTTTCTTACCATTTTGGTTACTTGTATTGCAATCCCGTCGGGGCATCCACTGAATCCAGAGGGCGAAAGCAGCTGAAAGAAAGTTAGCAAAGGAAAAGAAAGAAACCGCAAAGCATGCTACCATGGCGGACAGCCAAATCGTAACAGAGACCAATTCAGCCGAGAAAAAGATGGCTGCAAATGTCTCTGAGGCAGTGGAAACCACGCATGTCACCGAAGCCATGGCTCCCAAGGTGAGTACAGGGAAGGGTGCTTCCGTTCAGTCAGGATGATTAAGCACTGTATTCTAGAGTATACGCACTGTACGCGGTAAATAATATTCATCTCGTCTACATGGTGGATATTCTTTCTTTACACGGTAAGTTGTGTACATTCCTTTATAGATGTCACTACTGTGTGTCCGTATAGTAGACGGATTGCGTGAGCCATTGTGGGCTACTAAGTGATGCAGAGTGCTATATATGGAGTCCTTACCTTATCAATAGCTGTGCTAAAAGGGTTTTCATTTCCAGCAGGAACCCCTAGTGGTGGTGGATCAGCTCTCTGCTTCCACTAGTGCCCCTGAAACCGCAACTGCCAAGCCATATATCGCGAGGAAAAAGCCGGCTGCAAAGCCAGGTAGGTCATTTTTTTGTCAAGAATCGGGCCTTCTGCTTTGTCTCTGAATAGGCACTCGATATGTAAGTATATACCTATATGTATATGTAGATATATTAGTCTGTAGAACTACACGTATATATGCATAAGTACTCGTAATTAATCCTCTATGCTCGCTCCGGACCTGTTCTGCAACGAACAGCTAGACACGTGCCTGAGCCTACTGAGTCAGAAAAAGCCGACCTGATCAAACTCCGAGAGGATCTTGAGAGGAAAATGGCGGTGCAGAATACCATCGCACGAGCCACTGAGACAGCTCTCAAGGAAACTGTAGAAGCTATTAAAGCAACCACTGATGCTGACAGTGCCCCCGAGAAGTTAGAAGCTCCCTCAACCCCAACAAAGACGGCTGCGAGTGTAAAGCCTGCTATGACTGCCCGGGCGGCCAGAGGTATGTATTTGTTCTGGATGATTGGACAAATGGTGCTGGCGCGAAACATTTTGTTTTCGAGTATGAGCAATGATCCAATGTATTATCAACTGTATAAGTAGTCGAGCTAGTATTTTGGCGTCTTCAGCTGATGATGTGGTTATTGGCTGCCTGTTTCTTTAGAATGGTAAATGCTATTAGTAGCTTGCACTGTGCTGCACGACTGGTATTCACCGGAGCGCCCAAGACAATCAAGGCATTGCCTTGTGGCTGTTCTGTGAGGTATGGTCATTGGTAATTGTTTTTCTCCGATGTGCATCTCTATTTGTGATTTTGCAAGCGTATGTCGCTCAGATGATGTTTTGGCGACAATTTATCCGTCTGCTTGCGTATGTGCGGATGAATTTATCATTGACACTTTTTTGCTACCGAGTTTCAATTGGAAATGTGATGCATTAAATTGGATGATTATTCTTTAACAGACATCCATCCATATGTGATCGAGGTGTAGGAAACAATCAAAGCATAACATCTTTACTCCAACTCGTATTTACTACTTCACAGCCGAGCTCACGAAACAAAAGAAGGAGGCAGAAAGGGCGGAGAAGGAAGCTCTCAAGCTGAAAGAAAAGGAGGAAAAGGAAGCTAAGAAATTGAAGGAAAAGGAGGAGAAGGCAGCACAAAAACTGAAAGAAAAGGAGCAGAAAGAAAAGGAAAAGGCAGAGGCTGCGGCGAAGGCCAGGCAAGAAAGAGAAGGTGTGTAATTTTAATTCGAGTCCAGTCTATAGAATGTCGGCGATCATAGGATAGCTATACCTTCACACCACACTTCACCAGTGCAGTCTGCGGAAATACGTTCACGGCCTTGCTATGCGGTGCTCACGCTTGTTCAGTACGCTGAGATCCCTTCGGCCTTATACTAGTCTGAATTCATATCTTAAGATGCGATTCTAATATGAATTGCGTGGTCTCTCGTTTCCACACAGCCACTGCCGCTGCTATGAAAAAGTCAAAAACCCCGCCCCCTCCCACTATGAGGGCTACAAGGAACGCAACCTCGAAGACACCAGCGGTACCAAAAATAGAGAAGGTGGCAGAGAAGGTATGCTGCAATGTGTGTTGCAAATTTATGACCACATATACAAAGCCACAGCAAGATGAACTTCTGTATTGGAGCATTTCAATATCGTCCTCTATTCATATTGCTTACCTCCTGAGCTCATATATCAATGTTCACAAGCCCCTTGTCATGTGCCAATTGACGTTTGAATCTATTTAAGTATAATTTACAATGCTTGCACAGCCCGAACCAAAGCTGAGCATCACAGACGCAACCGAACCCATGGTGGAGGGATCGGAGAGTGACGAGGACGATGTAGAGAGCAGTTCAGACGAGGAAGTGGAGAATGTCACAGTCCGCGCTCATAGCACGCGTGCGTCTTCCAGCAGTAGCTCGTCCAGTGACTCGTCGAGTGACTCGTCGTCTGATTCGGAAAGCAGTGACGAGGACGACGACAATGATGACGAAGTGGCCTCCCCAGTGCCAAGCAGCGACAAAGCAAAGAGCGTCAAGGTATGGGCTGACAGACGCTAATTTTGAGTCTTGTCTGAGCTCCATTTCTAGAATTTGGTGGAATGTGGCGTATCTGATTACATATTGCGTGCGGCAACTGTTGAGCACCGCTTACCAATTGCAGACCGATTCGCATGAGATCTGTGAATAGGATTTTCATTGCGCTCGACACGTGTCGGTAGGTGTTTTTGAGTCCTTATTGGCTTGCATTTTCATCAACATTGTCATCAACAGAACAATGCAGCCCAAAGTACGACATCAAAGGTAGAGAAATCAACGGAGACTGATGATGTGCAGAAACCTGATAAGTCGGCAACACAAAAGTTATCTGAGACGGTTGTAAACGAGAGTGATGATATGAATGTGGACGAAGAGCCCGTACAGCCCAAACCGGTCAAGTACGTTACAATATCTATGCACATGTTGACCATTTCTTTCACAATGTGAACTCAACATCAAGGGTTTGGTTTAATGGAACAGGCCTTGCGGGTGCAAATGCACACGTAGTGATCTTGACACGAGCTATGAGCTGTTGGTATGCGAATGTGAGCCTCATGACCTTATATTGCAATGCACGCGATAAAGCTTAATTGCTCATTTTAACTCCAGAACGATACAGTTCGTTGCCGCTCAGGTATCCAAAGATGATGACAGTAGTAGTAGTAGTAGCAGCGACGACAGTGACTCTGACTCTGGAGAAGATCTGGCTGCACAGCTCAAAATGTTGGCCAAGAAAACCGGTATTCTATAATGTCATTGTTCCAGGTGAAATTTAGTTTGCTTACTACGGGCCTACGACAATGCAATGGCCCCTTGATCTTCGGTTCGGAAGTAGGCTTCCGCTTCCCTCCTGTACAGTGCTGTCGGTAGATGTACATTTAATATTTTGGCTTGTTTGATATCTATTTTGTACTCTACTTTAAGTTCCTGTACATTGTAACGTTAGCTGAGTCCTTTCGAGGAATTGAACATTGAGTAATCTGCAACTATTAGTGCACCGAGTTATTGTTAAGTGGAGTAAATCTGCATCTATTAGTCCACCGAGTTATTGTCATGTGACCTATTAGTGAATGCATGCACAGCTGTTCAATGTCTCGAGGCGTTTGTCGAAGCCGAACGTGACAGTATATCACACATTCCGCAACAATGTACAGTTATCAAATTGTTTGAAAAGTTTTGATCGAGTTTGGAAATTGATCGAATTTTAGCACCGAGTTTATTTTGGCGGGGTACGAGTTTCAAATCGGAGTAAACGATATACTTTCTTTTTTTGGTTTTGGCTTTGCTACGAGTTTTGAAACGTGGCATTCTCGCGTTTCAAACGAGTTACAAAATCGAAAAAGAAAAAGAAAGAGTGGAATCACGAGTTTACAACAGATTTGACACGACTTCCGAGCCAAAACACGAGGTGCTGACACGACTTCCGAGCCAAAACAACGAGGTGCTAACACGAGTTCAATTTAAAACCAAACGAGACCAAAAAAATACAACTATTTGATAAATGTAGTTAATATTTACATTCAATGAAATCACGAGATTAGGCCGACCGCCGGACAAAAATGGTTTTGAACTAGGGTTTACAAATACTTTGAGTTTCAGAGAGTAAAAAATGGCCGAAATCGAGTGATTTCATTGAATATAATAATAACCAAAGTAATAATCTGTATCGAGAGAGTACAACAATGTGCACAAATGATATTCGACTTCTGATAATTTAAATACTGTGGTCAATACAGCGCCTAAGACTAAGAAGGTTATTGTACCCAAAAAGGTGGTAAAGCCACGGGCACCAACTCGAAGTACCGCTGTTAAAAGGAAGGCGGCCGCGACTCCCAACAAAAGAGCGTAAGTTACTTGCTGTCTTAGGTTGATCGTTCACGACATGGTTGCACATATCATTATCAGATCCAAGTCTATTGATGCACGTTTTCTATCGCTTGGTTTGCGAAGTTTCTCAGTAGTGTTTATGTAATACATGTGCTGGAACTCATTGTATGACTCTCACAATTTTTATAACTTGGAAAATGTAGGTGAATCTAACAACTCTGATCTGCTTTCAAACATTGCAGACTGTCCATGAAACGCAAAGTTACCAAAGTACCTACTGATCTTCTGAGGTAGAAGGTTGATGGCAGGGAACACTATTCTACTCGTGATACGAAAACTCAACATCTGTAGCGCTAGCGTGGCTAGCCGTGGTAAATTCATTGGAGTATGTTCTTATGATGAAATTATTCGATACATACTTCGAAAAAAACGACACTTGCTCCAACAAGATGTCACTTGCAATTATTCCCGCGAATAACTGTAAGCAGAGGCGGTGGTGAAATCATCGATATATACCTTTTAAAATTAAACGACACATTCTTAAACAATATAGTAAATTCAGGTGCAATCAAACGATATCAACTTTAAATTGAAGGACGCATACTCCAACAAAATGTTAATTGCAAATATTCACTCGGAACAATTAAAAGGAGAAGTGGTGGCAAATCCACTGGAGTATAATCCAGAAGGTGAAGTTAAACGACACAAACTATTAAATAAACGGCACATGCTTCAACATGAAGTTAATCGGAATTATTCACGCGTGTAGCATTTAGGGACCAGATTACTATCAGAGAAACGAATCCGAACCCCAAAACCGCAGGATTATCAAATACTGAGTTTTGGGGTCCGGAACCAATATTTCTGATATTAGAGTGATCAGAAATACAACAGGATTACCGATATATGATACCGGGACCCCCGTGTGTGAGAGAAACACCCAAGTAGAATTTCAGTCTAGTGTAGAAACAGCAAACACACATAAAGACTCGATGCGAATCCTTCAACCTAGGGCTTTATCTAGCTGAGAGATTCGCAGTTGAGTAAAGGTCTATTGTTTCGCCACTCTCAAACTCTACATGGTAAATTCATTGGGGTACAATTCAAATGGTGAATTAGACGATATAAAATATAAATTAAACGGCAGATTCTTCAACAGGGTGCTAATTAAATTTATTTACGCCAATAACCGAATGAAAAAGTGGTGGTAAATACAGTGGAGTACAATTCAGAAACTGAAATTGAACGATACATACTTTAAATTAAACGGCACGTGCTTCAACAAGATGTTATTGCGCGAATACGTGAAAGGAGAAGCTGTGGTGAATTCTTTTGAAGTGTAATTTAGAAGATAAGATTTAAAGATATATGCTTAAAATAAATGACACCTGCTTCAACAAGATATTTAAAAAAATTTACGCGAATACTTGAAGTAGAAGCGGTAGTGAATTTGTTGGAGTATAATTCAAAAGATGAGATTCAACGTAATAAATTTAATTTAAACGACACATGCCTCAACAAGATGCAAACTACAATCATGCACGCAAATGTTTGAAAGGAGAAGCGGTGGTAAATTCTTTTAGAGTATAAGAAATTCAACAATATACTTTAAATTAGACTAAACATCTCTAATCAATGTTACTTGCATTGTGCACGTGAATAATTGTAGGGATCAGTGATGGTAACTTCTTTCGAACATAGTTCAGAAGATATGATTAAACGTTACTTATTTCAAATAAACAACACGTGCTACAACAGGTGGAACTATTCACGCAAATAATGGAAAGGGGAAGCAGTAAAAAAATCATTGGAGTACATTCCAGAAGGTGAAATCAAGCGGTATACACTTTAAATTAAACGACATAAGCTTCAACAAGTTGTGAATTGCAATTGTTTTTTAGAGGAGGACAACCAGCTAATCAATATATATAAATATTTCAATCGTTCAAAATTTATACGAGTATAATCATGGTTCATGATGCCGCCGCCTGAGACTACCAGTAGTTTAACTAAATACATCATTGAGTTGCGCTGCACTTCCTGTGGCGCGCTCTACAAATGCCAGTCCAGACAATGTGGTAGACATGGCGCGGCCAAAGATTCTTTAACCCTTTTATGTCGTGGTCCGGCTGTTAATATGGTACGCATCACAGGAATTATGCATATCCACCTTCTTTGTTCACACATAGACCTCCACTGCTTCATCAAGAAACCTGTATTCGAAGTAAATTAAAGAAAGTTAGGCCATGCAAAGTGATAATTCATAAGCTCAGCACGATTCGGCGTCGTCAAACTGATTGGGTCTTCTTCACTCATTAACGTGTCAAAAAATATCAACTATGGGGAGCGATATTCTGCTTGATAGGTATTTTCGTTCAAGACTTGCGTTTTGCCTACACGAAGTGGTAAAAAGTTACCTAGGAAACGCATTGACATAGTCAGTTCCATTGGGGCATGGCGTGAAACTGTTGCCCTGGCAACTTGGGCTGGTGGAATCAATCGGTTGAGGCTCGATGAAGTTGCTCAATCCGGTTGCGCAGCAACAAGCGCCGTTATAGTACGCACAGAGGAAGTCTGCAGGACATGGGGTACCGGTCGTCTGGGCTTCACTCACTTCTACTGAAGCCGCATCGGTAACGAAGGTAGTGGTTGTAGTTTCCATCACATTTGGTGCCGCGTCTGATTGCAGAACATCCGGAACGGTTTTGATTAGGGTGCCGACAGCATTTTCGTAATCCGTTGCATCAGGACATGGCGTGAAATTATTGCCTTGGCGACTCGGGCTGGATTTATCGATCGATTCGGGAGTAATGAAACTATTGAAAGCTGTCGCACACCAGTAAGCGCCGTCTGTGTGGACATAGGGGAAGTCCGCAGGGCACACCATACTTATCGCCTCGGGTGCTGTGCTGCGACATCAGAGACTCTAAATAAAGTGCAAATGTATCTAAAGTATGTTGCGTTCGAATGAAAGTATTTGTAATCTCACCCTCAGTTATATTCTGATGGTGTTTGTACTAGTGTTCAACCACTTGGGTTGGCCGGGGTAAAAACGCATATGATCAGTATGGGAAACCTTATGCAGAACACTTTAAGGCTCGGATATATCTTCCAGAAATAAATATATCATATTCTCTGTTACTACACTCAGTCTCGGACCTCGGCTCTCGGCTAGCCGGTGGCCCGTCTCCTATAAATAGAATTATCTGAGAAGAAGTCTCAAATTACTCACGTTCTGAGAAACTACAGGTCTCAGGCCAGATTTTACAGCAAGAAACTATCTTTGGTGTATGGAAGTCATCAGAGTTAGCTCACTCCCGAGATCTAATCAAGTTGCTCAAATTACTCTCAAGAGTTGAGTTATTACTTAACCGACTTCCGAGAGCAGATTTAGTTTCTCAACCGATTCCCGAGAGTGGATTAAGCCTGTCAACCACAACATATTAATAATAGCTGCGGTACTATGCGAGTCACAACCTATGCGGAAAGGCATCATGTGATCAGCGTGAGATTTAGTTGCAGAGAGGTTGAAATAGAAAAGCATCGAAGTGTTAAAGTGTTCCGCATAAGGTTCTCATACTGACCATATGAGTTTTTACCCTGGCCAGCCCAAGCGGCTGAACACTAGGGCAAACACCTTAGGTAAAAAACCAAAGGTGGGGTCAGAAATATATACATACATTTGCACTTTATTTAAAGTCTACTACATTGTAATCTAACACGTTCTCTCGGGCCGACCTACCTAGACGTAAATCGTTATTAACGTATATATAAATACGTCTACTTCTGTAGTTTCTCAAGAAGCGGCTTCTACTACTTTTGGCACAACATCAGTTACCTGGGCATTCGCCATTGGTTCATCAGCGACTTTGCTGGGCATCGCGAAAGGGGCAGTAATCGCATTCTACAGTTGGTACCATCGGGACATGGCGTGAAGTCATTACCTTGACAACTCGTGCTGGATTTATCAATCAGTTCGGGAGCAATGAAGCTATTGAAACCTGTCGCACAGCAGTAAGCGCCGTCTGCGTAGGCATAGGGGAAGTCCGCAGGGCACAGCGTACTTATCGCCACGGGTGCTGCTGCGACATCAGATGCGGCTTCTACTACTTCAGGCTCAACATCAGTTGCCTATGCACTGGCTACTGGTTCCTCAACGACCTCGCTGGGTGCAGCAACAGGGGCAGCATCAGTAACAACAGATCCCTCAAAGGCATTTTCGCAATTGGTGCTACCTGGACATGAAGTGAAGTTGTTGTTCTGACAACTTGGGCTAGACTTATCGATCGGTTCTGGGTTGACGAAAATATACAAACCAGTAGCGCTGCAGTAATCGCCGTCTGCGTAGGCATAGGGGAAGTCCGCAAGGCACAGCGTACTTATCTCCTCGGGTGCTGCTGCGGCATCAGATGCGGCTTTCACTATTTCCGGCTCAATAATAGTTACATGGGCATTGGCTACTGGTTCCTCAACGACCTCACTGGATTCGGCGGCAGGGGCAGAAACTGCATTCTCGCAGCTTGTACCATCAGGTCATGGCGTGAAGTTGTTGTTATTACAACTTGGACTTGATTTATCGATCGATTCGGGATTAATGAAGTTATTGAAACCTGTCGCACAGCAGTAGGCGCCATCCGCGTAGACGAAGGGAAAGTCCGCGGGACATGGGGTACTCCCTACTACTTCTGACATAGGTTCGGTGACGACAGGCAGTGGGGCAACTACTACTTCTGTAGAGTATGGAGAGTAGCTGGAAAGGTACGATAATAGGATACAATAAACCTCTACTCAAGTACGATTATCTCAGTTAGGAAAAGTTCCTTGTCTGAGAGAACGGAACTGAGTTTTTATTTGTGTTTTCTAATTCACTAGACTCGGATTTTCTACTTGAGTGTTTCTCTCACACGCGGAGTACCCGTATAGCTTACCGGTTCTACCGCTAATATTGCTGATGACTCTAATATCAGAAATATTTGAATCCTAATTTCAAAACTCAATATTTGATGTTTCTGAGATTTTGGGATTTGGATGGCTTTTTGATTATCTGGTCCCTAGATGCTACTGCCTCCCAACTTTGTGCTTCTTAGCCTGCGTAGGAGTAGAAAGTGACATCGTACAGTACTAGATTATCTAAAGGTTGGTGTTTCTGTACGGGAAAAACTTGTCCCAATAGGGGGTATAAGTTGAAAAAACCTGCCACCAGTATCTATTCTTACATTTTACCTATTAATTAGGTTTATACTATGACGGGAGTTATCTATCACGCTCATCGAAGTAAGTCTTGACCAGTACTCTCGGTTGATCTCAACTTGTGGCTGAGGAAAACGCATCTCAACGGTGGCTCTACAACCGACTCTTTGAGTCCTTATCCCTCTGGTATGTGGGCGGACATGCTTCAAGGCGAGAAAAATGGAGTGTCCTTTGGTATCAGTGCGACTTGCCTAGGTCCCCCACCTCGTGCGCTTTCTGTTGCTTGCTGATCTTTCATCAGTGCTCGTTGTTGTCGATTCTTTTGGCCTTAATTGCCTTCGCTTACGTCGATTGCGTTGACGGCCTATAGTAGGAAAATTAATGTCTGATTCATGCGCTCCGGTAAGCTCCCCATCTGTCCAATGCAGTAGGTACTCCTGGGATCCATCACCTCGGATAGACGGCCCGTCGTCGACTATCGAGGAGAACTGAAGTTCCTTGTTTGGTTATACATACGCGATTATTGGAAGAAAATACTTCCAGGGCAGTGGCCTTTTTTATGAGTCCAACTAGCTCATCACTGATAGAGTTAGGATATTCGGGGGCTTTAGTCCCATCAAGGTTACAGACAAAATACCCGTTGCCCTCCCTGTGTACTGATTTGTATGGTCCGCCATATGGTACAGTCATCTAGTTTTAGGGTTTTACAGTCATCTTGTTCATTTCACCTTGATAGCGGACCATGACAATGTCCCCTTCCTGGAAGTGTACGTACTTCTTTTGGTGTTTTCGGTCGTGCTGCATCGCTGTCGCTTAATGGCTTTTTCTAGATGCTGCAGTCGCTCTTCCCAAAATACTGTTGTACTGGGTGCGTTCACTGGTGTGTTATAGTCCGTGACTTGATTCTGTCTGCGACCAAAGTACACATTAAATCGCGGTGACTTGTGTCTTATACGCAGATTGTGGCCCATCTGTACGAAGGGAAGTCGTGAACACCAGTGAGAGACTACAGGAGTAGACGTACTTTTATATACGTTAATAAAGTTTTACGTCGTCAGCCGGAGAGAAATTTGGGACACGTTTTCAAATTAACATACGTACAGGTGAATCAGCCCGAGAGAACGAAAGTGTAATTTGAGACCTCTTCTCAGATTAACCAATTTTTAGGACAAGGGCCACCGGCTAGCCGAGAGCCGAGGTCCGAGAGCCGAGGTCCGAGAGCCGAGGTCCGAGAGCCGAGGTCCGAGAGCCGAGGTCCGAGAGCCGAGGTCCGAGAGCCGAGGTCCGAGAGCCGAGGTCCGAATCTGAGTGTAGGTAACAGAGAATATGCTATATTTATTTCTAGAAAATATATCCGAGTGCTAAAGTGTTCTGCATAAAGTTTCTCATACTGATCATATGAGTCTTTACCATGGCCAACCCAAGTGGTTGAACAATAGTATAAACACCATCAGTATAAAACTGAGGATGAGATCATAAATAAATTCATTCGAACACACCATACTTTAGACACATTTGCACTTTACTTATAGTCCCCACATTGCGCTCTAACAACCAGTCCTTGGGTTTTGTTCAACCAATTTTCGTAACAGTGGTACTAGGTCTCTATGTGATCGTTCGTTCGCGCCTAAGACTTCAGGTTGGTACGGCCGAAAGACTAGGTGTTGTGTCAGCGCTTGTTCAACGACTTTTGGAAGTATGTCGTTAATAAATATAGTGCCCTGGTCAATCTGTATGATTTGTGGGAACCCATATTCACACTTGATTGGTACCAGTGTACGCGCTATAGTAGCCGTGTAGGATTCGGGCTATCAAGGCAATATTAACGCCTTAGAGTAATCAAACGCTCAGATTAAGTCTAAGTATCGTGGAATTCAAAGTAAATAAACGAAATGAGTCTTTTGGTAAAGTTAGGTATGCCTCGTGAAAACAGCAATACTCTGAGGGATTGTAAGGCTGAGACATTGCCTATATATAATCCTCTCAGTACTGTTTTCGCCTAAGAGATTTTATTTAGTGTTTCGTTGTCGCTCTATTAGAAACTAGGGTATGTTTCGTTGGGGCGAATCCGAGAGACTCATAAAATCCTATCTTTAGAAAAAAAGAATAGAAAAAAAATTACTCTTGATGTCCATAGTTATTGCATTAACCAATAACTTGCCACTTATCAAGAATTACCGACTTAGCCTTCATCAGACTGGCACATCTGGTTGGCTGAACGAAGGATAAACTAGATAACGCTAATAGTCCCTAGAAACCTATATTCGGTTGAGCCATCTCGCTACCGAAGTATTCAGATATAAATAGATTTGGAAAGTAAATATAGTCCTATTAATAGAACTAGACCAAATCTTGTGTTTGGTATTTTACTGGGGCCTTTTAATGGCCTTGTCCAAATGTCTGATATGTAAAATGGAAAAGGTATTAATTAATAAAACCGTTAAACCCCATTTTGGAAACTTAAGTTCCTTGTACTATTAAGAGTACGTTTATAGTTTACGTACTGCTTAAGAGTACGTTTATAACACAGAGTCTAATGTGGAGGCCCGGCTATTAAACAGCCCCCACCCGGCTTTGAGACCCAGGAGCAGCAAGTTGCTCACTCAAGCTGATTATGGGTCAAAAAGCGAGAAAGGAAAAACGGGTCGAAAACATTAAGTAGCATAAGATATAGTTAATGTTTCTCAGGCGGAGAAGTTAAGCGTTCTCGGTTACCCTGTGAGTTTTGGGCTTAGGTCCAGTAGGTCCGTGGTGGTCGACTGGACGTTTCTTACGCTTCAGTGTCTTAAGCACATATGAAGGGTGAGCATTAAAGCTCGGGATAAATACTGTAGGCGGGTAAGTTTTAACTTACGTGCCTTCAGACAATGGAAACATGCTATCTTTTTCAGCTTGTGACTTATGCAGGCGTTTGCGCCATTTTCAATTAAAGGCTTTTAAATAGTCTTGATTATCGAAAGCATCGTGTACGATAGTATGTATAGCCTCCCTTTTCCGTTCTCTATATAATGTCTTTAAATTCAGAACGATCAAGAGGGGCATTAGAGTCATGTCTTCTTACGAGAATAATCTCGGTAGTCGTAATCCGACTAGTCCCTATATTTAAAGCACTGTAACCGTCGGGGTTATTAACCTCATAGGTTCCCCTTTTAACGTCGGCTACAGAGATTATATATGGTCTTATCCATTTAGATCTTAATACAATAGCATCGGAATTACGTTGACGGATGTTAACTCTGTCTCCAACCTGATACTCTGCTATCTTTTTGGTAGCATTCCATCTATTTTGCTTTTTTAATAAGGCAATATTGCGTGTTTCTCGCAAGCAAGGATATACAACGTTATAAATACGTTGCACCTTCTCCAACCATGGTAACTCATGGTGATTAGGTTCGTCCTTGTTAAAAGGTATTTGTAACTCACTATATCTGCCACGAAAATAATGAGCGGGTGTTGTACCTGTAACCGGATCAGCACACTCGTTCATCTGTGTTTGTACCCACTTAAGGTGGTACGGCCAATCGTCTGCATCATCCGTTAATGCAGTACGTAAGAAGAACTGAAGTCTTCTATGGCGCGTTTCATTCGCGCCTTGTGTTTGCGGTTTATATGGTACACCCCTTTTTATGGCACATGCCTGACACGAGTACTAACGATTCCATTACGTCATCGCAGAACTCGCTACCGTCATCAGTGCACATTATACCTGGCCACCCGTGGTCAGCAAAGACTTCGCAACATAATTCTGCCACGGTCTGCGTACTCTTGTCCTTTAACGGATAGAGCAAGTTGTACCGTGACGCCACATCGAACAAGTGGCATACGTAACGGTCGCCTGTGTGCTCGGACGTAGGCAGGTCAACCAGATCAATGATGACCCTGCGCCATGGAACATCTTCAGTCACACTCTTAAGCGGTGCGAACCCATAGCGCTTAATCTGGTTGAGATCACAGTCTGTACATGACTGATATACTCTGTCAACTAAAGTTACCAGCTTAGGGTGCGCGATCCCATTTTGCTTCGCATCTTTAAGTGCGTCTACTACGTTCTGGTGCTTCAGCTTATGGTTTTGCGTCAGCCAAGCAAGAATGTTTTCATCATTCTGCTCCTCCAGAATAAAGGTAGGGTGTTGAGAATCCACTTGCGTGGTCTCTAAGTCTGTAGCGTTTCCAGACTCCTGTTCTTCTTTCGCATGAGTGTCATAAGTGCGCTCGTGTGCGTTTGATACACCTGACTTATTTAATAGTCACATTATATGTGTATACGCTTCAGGATTATCTTTCATTAATCCCTTTAAAAATAAGGGTTGAAAGACTTCGGGCTTGGACTTTATGTTATTAAACAGAGTCCTAGCTAGAGACTGACGCTTCTTAACTGTAGTGTCATTAGTATATTGTATTTCTTGTGCTCAGACTTCAAGTGCTGTGTTGCCTTTGAACTGCTCAACGTTCAATTTAGTAGAGAGTGGGATCTCTGATTCTTTGACCTTGTTAAGGAAGGT